CCGCTGGACTGCGATCCTTTAAAAAATATGTCACTTTTCTAATCGTGCCTCCACGTTCCCCTGCCGGACTCGGGTGAAAGCCAAAGGTCCCACACGGCCCCGAGCAGCCTGGCCTCCCCCCGGCTCTCCGGTCACTGCCGAACCCTGAGCCTCCTGCCTGACAACAAAGGCCTTTCCGCGGAGCGTGGCCTCCTGCCCCGCCGCCCACACCTGCCCACCGCTCTCCCTCCCCTCATCGGCGTCCCGCGAGCCGCCTTTCCTGGTGGATTCCCCGTCGCCTGTGACTTACTGGTTCTGTTTCTCCCAGACCCCCTCCCCCCACGCCCGCCCCCAAGTCCCACAGGAGAACGCAAGCAGCGGCGCCCAGCGATCCGCCCGTGTGGTCACCGCTGTCCCTGCATGCAGGCGGCGGCACGAGTCAAAGGAAGGGACCCCCACACCGGGGCGCGATCCGCTCCTCTCCCCGCGCTCTGCCGCCGGTGCCTCCCTCTCCGTGCCCTCCTCCTCCCCCTCCCCCTCCCCCTCCGAGTCCTCCGTGTCCTGCCCACTTAGGAGACTTCCCGCTAGTTGCTCTGGAACTTTCGTCGCTGCTGCGAATGTGGTATTTTCTCGATGGTGTTTCCCAACCAGCCACGGCCGCCCCCGGACACTCCCCTCGGGGATGTGTTCTTGTTGTAAGCTCGCGTTAAAGGTCTTTCGACCAAAGGGTTTAAGGTTTGCCTTTGTTTTCCAGGTAATTTTCACTTTCTACTTTACCACAATACAGTCAAAACCATGTACTACTAAACTGCGTTTTGCCCCCCTAAAGACTTTATGGTTTTCCTAACGGCCTAATTTGTTCAGTTTAATTTTGACAAATATCCTGCGATTATGGAGCAGGATCTACTAAATCAACGTTATTAACCCTGCTGTAAGTACTTTTCGTATCTATTTTATGCCGTGCTTGATCTGCAAATCATGAGCTGAATTACCCCTTTCCGACACAGTAGGTTTTCATGTATCCAAGTCTCCTAGATGTCCCCCACTTTTTACCAGACCTTGTTTGATTTTGTAAGTTTCGTATACATAGTCACATAACGTTATTCATATGACCACTATATTCACATACCGACATTCACAAAAATGTTATAAACCTCAGTCTCGCTGTTGATTACGTATGTGAGCAGCAGCCAACAACAGGGAAACCCTCTCCGCCCCAGGTGTCGCCTTGGAACCCTGCACTTCTGATACGTGGATTAACCCCCGCCTCGGGACTTTTGTTTTATCCGCTCTTACTCTAACCTCCCTGAATATTTCGTGCCACTTCCAGACAACACGTTCTGGCAACTTCTGCCTTCGGACTCTTGTCAAAACACAGTTGGGGAGTCACGCGCATTTACGTCTTTACTGCCACAAAGACGCACAGTTCTGCGGTTTTCTGGCTCTTCTGTGAGGGGCTCTACATTCTTTCTTTCCCCAACCCTCCGAGACCAGAAAAACACACATCCGTTCATCATCCTAAAGTTGGCTACATTTAAAAGAAAAAGTTTATTTCACTCTCAGCTTCAAGAGTGAAAAGTTTCTCTTTACTTTTTATATCAAGAAAATGTTCTGGGTTTCTTTGGCGGGGGACCACGATACCAAACATAGAGCAACTGGCACAATGTCACTTCCCGTACACGTTAGCACCCAATGGGCACAGTCTTGAACGTCAGACCCTGCACCTTACCTTTCAAATCATTCAGGCCGCGCACTATCCGAGTCCGCGCGCACACCCGCACTTAACGGCACTGACAGCAGCGCTCCCGGCTGTGTTTACGTGGCTTAACTCCCTAAGTCCTGTTTCCCTGCAGCTTCTCCTAGACTATACACAATAATCATTTAATCCCGAAACCCAAATAGCTCCCAAACCCACATTTCCCCCTCTGAATTTGGTGCCAAACAATTATTTAGTGGCTAACATCTGACCTGAACTCACAAGAATATATTTCACTGGAAAGGGCCAACATATTAACTAGACACGTTAAGAAATACAGAACAGATGTACCTTATTACCATCCTAAAATGTAAACTATTCCGTGACCAAAGCGCAGCTAGCACGGGGTGACGTACGTGCAGGCAGTTCCTAGCCCTGTCTGCTAGGAAGGCCAAGGCCCAACGACAGCCCAGTAGCAGCTAGCAACAACCACACGGAGCGCCCCGACCTTGGTTTCTGAAACCATTTTCCACTAAAACGAGAAGTGGCTGAATCCTGGGCTGGGGTGGGGAAAATACAGACGGTGCCAGAAGTTAGGGAAATGCCCCCTGAAAAGAAAGCAGGGCATGTTGAAAGGGCACAAGAATCCTGGGGCACCTGGGCGGCTCAGTCGGTTAAGTGTCCGACTTTGGCTCAGGTCATGAACTCCCAGTTTGTGGGTTTGAGCCCCAGGTCGGGCTCTGTGCTGACAGCTCTGAGCCTGGAGCCTGTTTCAGATTCTGTGTCTCCCTCCCTCTCGGCCCCTCCCCCAAATAAATAAAGATCACACTGTCTCTCTCTCTCTCTCTCAAAGTTAAAAGATTAAAAAAAAATTTTTTTACTTAAAAATAAAGAAGAAAGGAAGGACACAAGAATCCAACTGAAAGAGCTCCCAGGCCAGAGCTGGAGCAATGTGAGCAGCAAAATAATACTGATAATCCTGCGTATCATCCAGGGCCCCTCATACCGTCCGAACGGATACACACCTGTGAGTACACACCGGTATACCCAAAACATGCACGAGGGAGAAGAGGCCTCTTTCCCTTAGAGAAGCCTAATTAATAAACATAGAAGAATGAGGGAGAAAGAAAGTCACCACCAGAACAGCACAGTAACAAAATCCCCCCGCTAGCGCTGGATCAGTGGGAGGCTTAAGGAGAAACAGGCTACGTGCACAAATGCAGGAGCAGACAGGCCCTGCCAAGGCCAAGTGTGGCCTTTGCCCTTCGCTCCGGGAAAGAAATCGCCAGGTCCGTGGAAGGTCCAGGCTGGTAAGTCTATCTGTTTTCCTGGGTCGCAGGGGCAGCTCAACCTTGGGAGGGGCCACACGGACGGGCAGTCATCTGTGCAGACCTGATCAACGTCTAGGTGTGAAGCCCAGGTGAGCTCCCTGGTTGGCGATACTCTGTGTGCACTGTCACGCAATGGGAGAAGGTAGCACTGCCTACAAACTCCGGACAGACCAACCACCAGACGCCCGGCGCCTCCAGAAGACCAGCCAACCGCCTGCAAGGGAATTATGCCAACTGCCAACAGCTAGCCCACTGGATCAAAGCTCAGTTAGATCCAGCCTCTAGAAGGAATCATTCATTTATAGGAAACACAAGAAAGAGGAACCTGTTAAACTCGAGCACAGCGGTGAGTCCGCCAAATCTAGACTGGCCAACTCAACGGGACAAGCCACCCAGATTCTGCCACAAACACATGGGACAGAAATGAACAGAGAAACCTACAGATAGTAGAGAGACTTAAGAAACATACCAACAGTAATAGGACACTTGCTTGGAGTACGATTCAAGCAAATAGCTGTAAAAATCATTTACAACATCTGAGACAACAGAAAATTTGAACACTTAAGGAAATACTGTTTAAAAAGGTGACAGTAACATATGGGTTTGTTTCTTAAGTGTCCTTACCGTTTAAAAATAATGTGAAACTATTTAAAACATTAAAAATAGGGGCACCTAGGGCACCTGGGTGGCTCAATCAGTTGAGCGTCCGACTTTGGCTCAGGTCATGATCTCACGGTTCGTGGGTCCGAGCCCCACATCGGACTCTGTGCTCACAGCCTGGATCCTGCTTCAGATTCTGTGTCTCCCTCTCTCTCTGACCCTCCCCTGCTCACGTGGTCTCTCTCTCTCAGAAATAAACAAAACATTTAAAAAAAATTTTTAAACACTAAAAATAAGTAAAACCACTTACTTCTACAGATAAAAACAAATAAAACTACCTCCACAGATGTCACCCAAAAGCAATGAATCAATGTAATGTGTACCATAGACCTGAATGTTCAGTGTTCTTTTTCCTTCGAGTGGAGGTTACCTATCAGGTTAAACAAAAGCATCTGGCTCCCTTCGCTGACTGCCTAGTCTGTGCTAGATTCCTCCACTCTACGACGTCCTCCACCACCACCACCACGTACTTTCTTCTGTTATCCCCGCAAGGGCCATGGGGACACTTCGTGAACCCACCATGAAGGGAACCCTTCCCCGGTCACAGTGGACATGGCCATGAACAATATTCGCTATAGGGCAATATGTGCTTTAAGAAAACGGATTAACAGAAAATAGGGACTGATTTTAAAGCAGCCATGATATTAAGGAAAAAAAGCTATAAGACTATATTGCTAACCCTACATGCTCTTTGATAGTCTTCAAATAACTTTTAGATAAAGGGACACATGAAATACTCGAAAAATGGTATTAGAAGTCGTCGCTCTTTCCTGTACAGAAGAATTTCCCAGTTTCTTTACGCACTGCATCCCACTATTCCATTTTCTGGATGGACGACAGACAGACGCATGGCGCCACAAGCCAAGGTCTTGCCTGGCCCACTCAGTGTTTTGTAAAAATTCAAAAAAGTCGGCGCTTTAAAATGACCAGGTGTTTACATAACTGAACTACACATCCACAATGCCACACGCCACCCAAGGGCCCCATCCCCAAGCCGTTCCCAATGCCAAGGTCGGGGGGCCAGTTGCCATTTGGCAGCAAGTTCCCACCTCTGCTTTTGTGACACGTGACCAGTCTGTCCTTTACTGCCGCGGCCTGTTGGGCAGCAGACCCTGGAGCCTGCCGCCACTAACCTTCACACAGCTCTTTCAGGTCGAGAAAACATCTCCAAATGGCCGCTGGAAATTTCACCGGTATTTTCTTACGTTCGCATAAAGGGCATTTTGAACGTAAAAGGAACACAAAGAACGCAGAAACACCTATTCCATGTGTTTCTCCTCATTACGGCCCAGGGTGACTCGGGTCCCTCGCTCCCCCAGGACACACAGCCTCACCTGCATCGCTCCCAGCTCCTTTCTGCTTTTTTTTCTTGGCTAGATGAATGGCTCGGGAATCAGTTCTTGCTGAGCCCCCACTTTCCTGGGACCAAAGAAAAGCGTGTCAGTCACTTGTTCCAAACAGCAAAGGAAGGGGAGTCAGGGAGCTACGGACATGTGCTAAGTCTGCCTCCCGTACAGAGTAGAGTCCAACAGTCTCTGAGGATCTCCAGCAAAGGTTCACGGAGACTCAAGTGCTACATCCAGTTCCGGTGACAACAGAACGAGAGGTGGAACAATATATACATAATTTTATTATCCAGAGAAGCAAAGTTTATTCCTCCAAAGTCTAAAACATATTAAAATATCTTATACAGAAACAGGTATAAAAAGAGTTACACACTTCTCTGCTGTCTGAAACAAATCACCAGCTTCCCTTGGTGGTTCAAGGTTAATTAACTGCACCACTTCTCAACATCTTCCAGAACATGCCACACGATACTAGTACGGCAGGCCTAGGGAGGTCCTACTTTATCCCCACCACAGAGGCGGAGGCCGCCCTGGTAGAGGGGCCCGGCTCACCAGTTATGTACGTCAGAACTGTAACTATGGTACCCAATTCAGGAAGTTTACTGAGGGGGCCAAACGGTATTCAAATGGGACTTCGCTTCTGTAAATTTGTGAACGTTCTGATGTGAAAAATAGCTCAATACTTATCACAACGAGATGAAAAGGAACAGCCCTCAACAGCTCGCGGCATACCTGTAACCCATTCACCACACACCTTCTGTGCTCAGAGAATCGAGGCAGCCCAACGTCACACAGCTAGCGAGAAAATGAACAAGGAGTCAGGATCGAGGTCATGGCGGCTTCTCCTGCCTCCACCCACAGCTGCGGCTCTGGAGATACCGTGGTACCGAGAACTCATTTCCCAAGGCACCAAGGCTCTCCGCACAGGCCCGGCCTCCCCGCTGATCTCTGAGCCTTGGCCATCTCCCGTCCCGGGCCAGTCACCAGGTGGCCTGGCCACTGCCACGGCCGCCCAGACAGAGGCTGGCAGTGTGGCAAGGCCACCGCCAAGTGAGAGCCGCCAGAAATGGTACGACGGACTGTGCCTCTCTCAGACCGACAGGCTCCGTGGTAGATGGGTTACCACATCCCTCATGCTGGATTCTAATTCAAAGGATTTCGTTTTTTTTTAAACTGTGGTAAAATAGGACTTAACATATGGAACAGCGGAAGTATCACCGTCAAATTTAACCCGTGCCACAAAGACAAAACCTATTTGATCATTCCCATCTGAGACTGAGGGAAAATAATCAGACTCTCCCCCAAGAATCTTTAATTAAATTATTTTAAATTAAATTATATTAAATGTATTAACTGACATAAATATAATTAAAAGCATATCAACTGTCGAGCCTCAAAACTGGAGAAGTCCTCTCCTAACCCTCCAGAAACAAAAGCTCACAAGCCACTCCTCTCTCTTGTTAATTCTAATTAAAATAAATTTTTTTTCTTTTGCATGGTTTTAAAGTTTCCATTAAACCTGGTGTCATGATTCCTCTTCCTCGAGGGCTGTTAGTAAGTCTAAGGGCCTCTAATCCCGTGGAAAGCACAAAGGCAAAACATTTCAACATTACGAAATACCCCATTTTTTTTTCAAGAAACACATCATCACAGAATCACAAAACTCAAAAGGACCTTAGAAATCATCTTAGCCAAACCCTCTCATTTTAGAAATAAATGAGAACTTAAGGCTCAGACAGGATAAGTGATTTCCTCAAGGTCCTAAAAACTAGTCAGTTCCAGACTCAAGATCAGAACTCAGATTTCCAGACTTGTAGTCCAGGGCTCCATCTTTCCGCAAACCAGTAAGAAATGTCTGCACACGAGTGATTAATCCAGAACATCCTCAAGACTGAGTGTAAGAGAAGCGAGTTACACGGTGGTGACTGAATAGAGCACTTCATACCAAATAGAAGGTGCCGGTCCCCGCACTGAACCCCGCGTCTTTCTGGGGACTGTGCTTCTCCGCAGGACTGCAGGGCGCCAACCGGGGCGCCCCTCGGCTCCGCTCCTGCTGCCTGACGGGATCGGGGCCCGGGAGCGAGTCCAGTTCCACTTTGATGGGAGCCAGCAGCTCCGGGCTACTGGTGCTTCGAGGTGGGGGGCTCGGAGAGGTCGACGCAGCGGTGCCGTCTGCTAAGTCTCCTGCGGTCAAAGCCTGCGGGTCCTGACTCAAGTTCCTCACGGGCAGCGCGACCAGACAGCCTAACGCCCCCGCGCTGACCGTCTGCATGTCGTCCACACTGAAGCTGCCTTGCTCAAGAACTGTGGCCGCTGTCCCAAGGACCAGAGGGCCGTCCAGGCTTGGAGGAACGTCACTGTGGGTCACCAGCACAAGCGGGTCCATGGGCCCCAAGGAACTATTATTCGCAGGGAGGTTCCCGCCAAGGGAGGAGCTCACAGAGGTGACGTCAACAGTCAAGATGCCCGAGCTCAGCGCCTCCTCCGAGGCCCCCGCGGCACGCCCGCCGTCCCCGGGAGCATCAGAGAAGAGCGCTGCCAGGTCGATGTTGTTGAGCTCGCTCTGGCCTGGGCTGCCGAGCTCACTGCTGTGTGGAAGAGAACTCGCAGCTCCAAGCTGGGGGAAGAGATCTGAAAGAGAAACGAATACTCTGGTTGTTTTATGCCCTTGAGGAGACTACAAAGGTTTGGCCTGTGCTTTGGACATTAGGTCAGCAAGCGCCCCCATCAATGCAGCTCCTATACCTCCTGCACCTGCTCGCTGCCTGGTGCATCGAAGGTGGTCACACACCAAAGGAAGGTGTGATAACCTCATCGGGCGTGTTACAAACACTGGCTCCAATCCGTAGACCGACAGGGATTCCTCCAGACCAGGAAGGATTTGAGAGTCTACGTGATGTCTCACAAAGTCCCGTCAACTGGTAACAGGAAGTGGCAAGACTTGAATTCCTGTCTTTCCCGCTTCAAACCCAATGCTCTTTGTGCTACACAACAGGAACTGCCCTCAAGAGGACTGTAAAGCCTTCCGCAGAACACAAATCTTCAGAAGTCAGACATAAGCTGCACTCTGGCTCTGGGGTATTTTTGGAATCAGCTTGTATCAGCTCCTGTCTCATCAAAATCTACACCCCACCCCACAACAAACTGGAGTCATCTGAGAGTGATCGGCGGGAATGAAAACTGTTCTGCCCCACGTGCCCGGGAATCAGGGCCCTGCCTCAAGGCCCCAACTCCAGGGACCGCACAGAACTTGGACGCCAGCCACAGGGCACCCTGGGGTTGCGCTCCCTCCGTGCGGCTTCTCCTGATGGGCTCCCCTTCCCCCACCACCACTGTATTTCCAACCTCTGTCACTCTGACCTCCCCCTGGGCCATGATCATCTCCAGGGTGGGGAGTCTATCTGACCCACACGGTCCCTTCAGCACCAGCATTTAATGACTACAGCAGAAATAATTCTAACAAATCCCTCTTGAGCCTTAATTGTTCATTCAGTCTCAGTCATTGGTCATATCAGTCTTTAAATACTTGATTCTTTGTTGTTCAATTAAATACTTTAAACAGACTACCCTTGGAGGAATAATGAACATTAACCACACTTTAAAAATATTCCAAGGAATATTCAAAGCAGGGATTTATGCACCCGTACACCCAATCCCCCACCCCAGATCCTAGGACTCTTCAAGCACCCAGCAAACAGGAAAATGGGAGCACAAAATATCTGGGAGCCAAACAGGGCCTCAAAGTTATTCCTTCCCAAAAAAATCTCTACCCAAAGCTTCTAGAACGTGCCACTGCCTGGCCAGAGGGAAAAGGCCCCCTCAGTTCTCTGGCTCTATTCCGTCTACACCGACTGTTAGCTAATCCCAAGCAAGCTCCTACTTTCCAGCTGTGCACACCAGCTCCGAGTGCCTATTATAGTTCTAATGCAGACCTATGAAGGAAATCTACTACAGACAAACGAGTTAATAACCAAATTCCGAATATATCTTCTCGAGGTGTTACACTACCTCAAAGTTTCAAGACAGTATCAAGGGGCACCTGAGTGGCTCAGTCGGTTGAGTGACTCTTGGTTTTGGCTCAGGTCATGATCTCACAGTTCATGGGACTGAGTCCCGTGCCAGACTCCGTGCTGATGGTGCACAGCCTGCTTGGGATCCTCTCTCTGCACCCCTCCCACGCACACATGCCCACTCGCACGTTCGCTCTCAAAATGAATAAACTTGGAAAAAGATCACAGTGCAAACAGATACCAACTTGTTCATAAATTTCCATTTACCATTACATTAATTTCGTAGATATTGACTGGACACCTGTCATTGCAAGGCCCAGATATTCAGAAATCATTAAACATTAATAACTACAGCTTCTAGCCCAAGGTTACCATTGTGACCTCGCTCTACCAACTCTCCGTGTGACCTTAGACGGGTCCTTCTCCTTTCTACCTCAGCTTCATCAGGGACAGGGCTGTGAGGACGCTCCTGCCCCAGAAGCACCAGGAGGTGAACTCCAACAGCCAACCCAGACCCTGGCAGAGCCCCTGGCAGAACTGATCCACAACAACGGACGTTCCCAAGCACCCGTTTCTCACGAGGCTGGCACTGGGACACCACCTAGTCATCTACCCCTGACCGCGGCAGGAAGAACAGCACATGCGTCAGTCAACGTCACATTTTAATTCAGAGCCTGGGAAACACAGGCACCCAGAAATAGCTAAGAGGCTCTCACATCAGACAGAGACTAAGGAAGCTCATCTGAATAAACGATGCCATCACTGGCTTCTGAACGAGCCAGGCCAGGAAAGAGGGAAGCACAGCAGCAAAGACGAGGCGCGGTGCACAGCGTCCCACAGCGCCAGCTCTCAGCTGCTAGTGGCGAGGGTAAGCGTCAGAGACAGAGGTGGGAATCGACCACGAAAGGCCTCGCCCGCCAGCCTAAGGCTCTTGACTGGACTCTGTGTGCTGAGGTGACAGCCCCTGACGGGAGTCCTCACAACGCCGAGAGGTTAGAGGGGCAGCTTCAGTACAAGGCTAAATAGCAATCGCTGTGCGGGCCACAGGCGTGAAGCGACCGCATCTCCACAGGAGAGGAAGAAGCAGAAGAAGAACTGCTCAGGTTCTCGTCGTGCTTTAAAGACGAGGAAACGGGGGCCTGCAGACCCGGGCCTGGCCAGGAAGCGGCTGCGCCCCACGGCCGGCGCTGCCTGTCGCACAGACGGCCGGGAGCAGGGCCCAGGGAGCAGCACACCCGAGTGACCTTCGGGCGAGCCAGGACTTCACGGAACAGGCCCCGCAGGCCGGCGGGAGCGCCCCACGGCAGGGGCAGCGCGCGGCCGCCGAGACCCCTCGATGTCCTGCCCGTGGGGCTGTGCACGCAGCCTGGGGAGGCGGCCTGTCAGTCCCGGGCCGCCACGGAGCCAGCCAGCCAGGCTCTCGCGTCCCCCGCAGCCCCTCTCCGGCTGCTGCGGCGGTTCCCTCTCTGCCTCCCCTCTCCAGGCCCTCAAGCCAACTACCCCCCACGCCCGCGCCCCTGCTGTCTGGTCTTCAAGGACTGTCCTCACCTCGGTGCTGGGACGGAGGAGAGGAGACAGAAGGGAAGTACCCAGAGGCCTCAACGGGACAGAGAAAGAGGAGTGAAGGAGACCGGAATGGGCGAGAGGCAAGCTCAGAATTCAGGACAAAGGTCTCAGAGGGAGACAGATTTAGGAGACCCATATTAGGAAAAGCCAACCAAGGAGAAGACTGATAGACAGATAAACAGATAAGTGAATAAATAAGAAGATAAAATAAACAAATAAAAAGTGGGCGACTGAATACTTCTCAAGAAAAGCACTTCAGAGGCAAGGGAAGGAACAGGGGTCAGGGGTCAGAGGCAAGAGGTGGGAGGGGAACCCGACGGACGCCACGGGGCTTGGTGGCACCGTCCGCGGGCTGGCGCACCCGCGCCAGGCTCGCCCCAGGGACTCCCGACAGCTTCGGAAAGGAGCGGAGGCAGGAGGGACGTGCTTGCTCCCCCAACACACGCCGCGCTTACACGTGGCTGCAGCGCCCCGGGAGGGAAGGAAGCCCGAGGGGAGCAGACCTGGGCGCCGGCTGTGCTGACGGACCACGTGCGCCTTCATGCTGTGCTGGGAGGCGAAGCGCCTGCTGCAGCTGGAGACCGGGCAGCGGCTCTTCGGGGCGCCCACGCCCTGCAGGTGTTTCCGGGAGTGGATGTAGAGGCTGCTGCGGGCGGAGAACCTGGCACAGCACCCTGGAACAGAACGGGCAGCGCGCGGTAAGCCTAAGGACGCCCAAGGAACCAGCGCTTACCTTCCACCCATCAGAACCGTAAGACAATGCAGTCCAGGCTCTGACCACCGGCAAGGGACAGACGCAGTAACCCCGGGGCGGCATCGCAAGCACAGGGGCCAAAGCGGGCTGGCCGCCCCCAAGCCCGGCCACTTTGCCGCGCACGTCAGGCCAGCGGGAAACCATCAAGGCCCGAAAGACTCAGGAATAGACTTTGACACCCCTCCCCCTCCTGCAGGGGGACCTGCTCCAGGGAGAAAGCTATCACCTCAGACAACTACGTTACGACGCGAGGTACAGTGGACAATTTGACCGAAGTCCTCTCTGTGTCCCGCTGTCATCTGTGGGCCCAGTTAAACATTTGTTCACCGAACCGTCACTTGTTTCACCTTCCTGTGAATTGCTTTCCTTCCCTTTGAAAGTCCCAGGCCCCTCCCCCGCTTCTGTCCAGCTCAGGATACACAGGCTCGTGTTGCCGGACCGGGAGTCTCCTGCCTGGGCGGCCTCCCGTGCGTTCGAAACTAACTTGCATGTTCCGTTCATCTGTCTCCTGTCGATTTCAGTTGGTCCAACCAGACCCACTGGAAGGGGGCAGAGAATACTTCTCCCTCCGGATACAAGGAATTAAGTTGGAAAGCAAACTGTATTTAAAAGGAGATACAACGTTCCCCTGGGCTGTGCGGAAGACACACAACCTTGGACAAGTCGACTCTGGGCCTGCTTCTTCACCCACCTCACAGGGCTGCCGGGCAAAGTCAGTCAAATGAAGTGTTAAACAACCCCTTAAAAATTCAATTGCTAAAAACGTACACCAATCACCTACACTCAGCTACCACCTGTAACGTTTAGAGCCGGAAACTACCTCAACAGATCACCAAAGCCAATTCCTCTCCTTTGACCACCGAGAAACTGATGCCCAAAGGGACCCAGCACGTGACCCTACACCAGGCGGAGGCGGCAGCGCCTCGCTAGCTGTGGGACGGCTTGGCCCACAGACCTGCACGCACGTCAGAGGGAGAGCGAGCCAAACTCAAAAACTCCACCACCAACCCCCCCCGGCCGCCCCGCGGCCCTCCTGCCCTGACCTCTGCGCCGTGGGGACACGGACAGGGAAGCGGGGCTCTGGGCAGCTACGGGCCTGTGAGCTGGTGGGGACACGTGAACAGCCAGCTGTCCCGACAAAGGGGAGAAACAAGCAGAGCTAGTGCCATCAAGCGTTCTGGAAGCAAGAAGAAACGGCGCACCTCCTGAGGCGAGGGGAAAGGGCTCAAGAGGCAAGAAGCATCTGAGGTGACCGGGTCCTGACCAAGCTGGGGTGCACACCAGAGCGTGGGGGGGGCGGTGCATGCAGGCCGCGAAGGGCAGCGGGGCGGGCAAAGCCTGACACTAGGTCAGCCCCTCCCGGCCACGTGGCCTCACTCACTCTTCCTGGTGTCCCTGTCCTCTCCTTGCCGGTGGGAGGGACGCCGGCCGCACGAGGGGTATGAAAACAATCCGAGCCTACAGAGCGTCCGCAGCGCCCAAGGAGGTGCAAGGAGCACGGCTGCGCTGCGGCCCCGCCTCGGAGCGGCCTGCTCGCCCCCATGCGGGGGGGAGGCCTCTTTTAGGAAAAGAGGCTCCTGAGGATAGAACTCGGCCAGCTGACTAAGGGCCCCGGCTGCCTCCGGGAGGAGCTGTGAACCGACTTCATTCTCAGGTGAAGCGCCAAGCCCGCGTCCAGGCCGGGCCCCCACGAGAACACTGGGAAACCACGAGAGGGAAGGGCCGCCCCCAGGCCCGGGCGCGCTGTGCACAGCGCGTGCTCTGCTCCACCCGGCGCCCGGACTGCCCTGCCTGCAGGGCCCTTCTCCAGCCGGGACAGGGGAGCGGATCAAACAGGGTCCCCAAAACGCTTCCCACCAAACTGCTCTGCCAAGGCCGGGGGTCCACCCCGACAGGGCTGCCCGTCACTCTTGCCGCAGTGGTTTCCAGGTTTTAAAATATTTGCTAATGCAACAGGGGACAAAATAGATTTCGTTTTAATTTGCACATGCCCTGACGACCAGGAACACGACCATTTTTTCCATGTGTGTTAACAGCAGCCTTTTTTTTTAAATGTTTGATAACCACCTTTTCTGTTTAAGGCGACTTCATTTATTTAAGGTTGTATTTTTTAAAGCAATTTCTACACCCAACGTGGGACTCAAACTCACAACCCCAAAACTGAGTCACACGCTCCACCGGCTGAGCCGGCCAGACGCCCCACGCCTGTCTTTTCATAACTGCAACGTTATCTATTGAGATCTGCGCCCATTCTTTACAAATCAATCGTGCTTTGTAAGTGCTCAGCGCCCCACATCTATGGCAAGTGACCCGCCAAGGGGCAGAGGAGCAGAGGAGGGACAGAAGCAGCCCGTCAAGGACAAACGCCACGGGCATCCTCTCAGCTCGCGTTCCCCGCTTACACGAGGGCCACGTACACGTCCCGCCCTCGACTCTGCACACCGCACTAGGTACGCCGCCGCCGTCGCCGAGCACACACCGTCCTCGCTCGGCCACCGTGTCCTCCCTCAACGCGCTCGCTGCTGCGTGGCCCTACCCTCTCGTCTCCTCCAGGCCCTGTGAAAAGACGGACGGTGGTGGTGTTTTGGTTTTTACCATGAAACACTTCAAGCAGGAAAAATGGTCTCATCACCCAGACGTAAGAACGATCAATTCTTATTTAAAAAAAAAAGTTATCAACCCTCCGCCAACCCGAAAGAGGGTTCTAGGACCCTTCCTGAGGCTCCCGCCCTCACCTGCAACCCCTTGAGAAGAGCGCTCTTCGACCACGCACCGCTGAGTCACCCCATCTGCCCCCCCAACCCACCAGCTCAGCCCACACCTGCCCGCAGCCCCGAGGACACAGGTACGGACAGGCAGAAGCCTTGCCCCTCCTCCAGAGCCAGCTACACCCTTCCTCTCTGGCTCAGGGGCCTCCAGGACAGGGGTCGGCGCAGGCCACCCCCCGCCTCACCGGCGCTCACCGCTCAGGGCGCTCGAGCAGGGCGCCCCTGACCCCCGAGCCTCCCTGGCACACCCACTGAGCCTGTCACAGGAGCCCCCGGCTCCTCGCCCCCCGCCCCCCACGCTCCTGCACCACCGCGCCCTCGGGACGGCCCTTCTCCTTCCCCACAGGTCCGCCTCCGCCGGCTCCAGGGCCACCAGCGGGGGCACCCTCCCCACCCCTTCCCAGGGCCCTCCCAGGGCTCCCCTTCCCTTCCTCACGTGCGTCAGTGGTGGTCCCCAGGGTTCTGGGCTGGGCCTTCTCTCTTACTTACCAGCAACAGGAATGGCGACAGGAGAGGACATCTCCTGCTTCCTATGGGCCCCGACTCAACCTGTCACCTCACAGAGCCCTCCTGCAGCCCTGTGTGGCTTTAGGACCCCCTCAAAGATGACGAAAAGGGGCGCAGAGCGCTCGCGCTGCTCACCAGAGGTTACAGTGACTTACGTGGCGGGCTCGGGGTGGGCGTCCAGGAAGCCTGACTCCAGCCCCGGGGCCTTCGGTCACACCACGCCACGCCTGGAGCGCCCACCCACGTCCGCAGGTAAATCACCTCCCCCCCGAATCCCACGAGCAGTATGTCCCCGCCACGGGGGACCTAAAATGCGGCCCCTCCTCGTCCTTTCAGCCCCGCGTGCCCACCTCCAGCGAGGTGCTGGCCCCGATGCTGCCTCCCCCACCCCACGGCCCCGAGTCCACACCCGCTGCCACGCGCTGCTGTGCACCAGCTCCCAGCTCCCCCCCAGGGCTCCAGGAAGGGTGCGGGTCACCTCCGCGTCCCTGTACGTTACTGGCCCACGTGGCGCCCCCACCGGAGCTCCGACGACAGAGGGCTGTGTCCTGATTAAACTATCGGTATTATCTCCGCGACGTTCTAGCAACTGGTCTCAGGTTCACGTTGGTCTCTATTAACCATTTTCCAGATAAGGAAACTGCAGCCCGGAGAAGCCGGCCTGAGATCAGCAACGCAGCGAGGAGGGCCAGGACTCGGATTCACAACCGCACACCGACCGCTCCGCCCCCGCGGCACCCCTGCAGCACCCCCGCGGCACCTGCAACAGCCCCAGCGCGGACAGGCCACGGGGCTGACCGCTGGCCAGTGAATCACACCTCCGGGGTTTCAGAGAACAAAACTTCCTAATACACTTTTCAAAAGGCCAGCCTGACTTTACTGCTGCCCAATCACAGTGCAAACCGCTACCCTTTATGGAGTCCGTGACAGGTGCCAGAGGCCAGAAGAGGCAATTGCACACGTTATTTGCCCCTAATCCTCACAACCACCAAACTAAACGGGTAATAACGAGAGCCATGGATGGAGTGAGTGAGCCGTGGAGCCAAGACTCTAACCGGTCTGATGCCGAGGTCTGCGCAGCACGCTGCTCCCGCGGGAAAGCACGGATGTAAGATCCAGCTAATGAAACCTAAGGCTGCAACTTACACTCAGCCCGTCTTCAGGCAAGTATCACTTACCTTTAAACAAGTCAGATACCTTTAAACAAGTCAGACTCTCAACAACCACGTGGACGTGCGCTGGTTTAGAGCTCAAAGGAATGTGTCAAAAACCCACCTTCCACAGGACACTCGAATGGCTTTGTGCCCAGGTGGGTGATGCTATGACCTTTCAGGTGCTCTGCTCTCGTGAAGGACTTCCCGCAGCCTTCCACGGGGCATGTAAACCTCCGATCGTCGTCGTGCTTCCTGCCAGGACAGAGAAACGGGGAACGGCAGTTACTCCCACCGCCCGGAGACACCCGGCCGCAGAGGTGACTCTTTGCATTAAGTTCCGCATGTTACGAACTGTCAGCGCTGAAAGAAAACGATCAGTTACGTATCAGAAAATCTGAATTCTCTCTGGTCCCTGTGGGCAGGGTTGCAGTTTAGCTGCCCTGTAATTAGAAATTCTACTTTGGGGCACCTGGGTGGCTCAGTCGGTTGAGCGCCCGGCTCTGGCTCAGGTCATGATCTCAGTTTGTGGGTTCGAGCCCTGCATTAGACTCTGTGCTGACAGCTCAGAGCCTGGAGCCTGTTTCGGATTCTGTGTTTCCCTCTCTCTCTGACCCTCCCCTGTTAACACTGTCTCTCTCTCTCTCTCTCTCAGAAATAAATAAAATGTAAAAAAAAAAAACAAAAACTCTACTTCAACGACAGGCTGACCTGAGAGTCGGACCCGACACTTAGTGCTGCTTCAATCTGAACAGCTGGCTGCCGAATGTATTGATGAAGTGACTTCCACAGTTTAGAAACTCTGGTAAGAAGCAAGGTTTCCAAGCTACCGAGGGCAAAGGACGCGCGCACAGAAAACCAACGGCAATCCTCAAGTCCCTACATAAATGCCACCCTTTCCTGTGTTAGCATTTTTATAGTGAGCCCCTCACCCCCAGGTGGGCAAGCACAGATAAGCCGCTCAATCTCTCTGGGTCCCAAGGCAACACAGCGAGAGGGACACGGAAGCCAGAGTTACTGTGAAGGTTAAAGGAGACGCATACGTCCAGTGCTGACCATCCCCTGCACACAGGCGAAGCCCCGTGTCACTATCACCGTGGAAGGTTTGTAATGACAGAAGGAAGCTCCTTCTGTCTTAAAATATTTCAAAAAAGCTCCTAACATTTAAAAAATATTGGCGTGTACGTGAAGTAAACAAATTACCCTTAAAAACAAGTACACGCAGAAAAACTGACATAGGTGATCGGATTCGGAGTGGTTTCCTTGTCACAGCTCTCCGAGTTTTCCAAATTAGCTACAATGGGCTCCTTTTCTTAGAACTTGAAAAAAAAAAATAAAAGCCAACAGATACATGTCATCCGGAGGCTCCCGCTGTGGACACGCACCAAATTCCTTCTCCACCCCAGTAGCTCAACCGAAGCGCCAAGAGTACCTTTTGTGCCGCAGGAGTTTGGACATGCTGGTGAAGGTCCAGCCGCAGCTGTCGGAGTCGCAAACAAAAGGTCTTTCACCTTGGAAAAGACAAAAATTACACCTCGTGATCACACACGCGAGCTGCCCCGAAGACAAACCGTGGGCGCAACGGCGCCGCGCTCCCTAGCTGCTTACCCGTGTGACTCCTCAGGTGAATCTTCAGGCGACAGGCTTTGTCGTACTGTTTGCTGCACCCGGGAAAGGAGCAGGAGAAGAGCTCTTGTTCCCGGAAGTGGGCTCGGTTATGGGAGAACAGGGCGCTCACCGTGATGAAGGTCTTCTCACAGCCTGAACGAGGAACACAGACGTGGCTCAGCGGCGCGACAGACGCCACGGACCCCGGCGAAGCGCACCGCCGCTCCAGGACACGCTCACGGCGAAGCAAACGAGGAGGAAAGGAGTCCGAGGGGCCTCCAGGAAGGTACCACCGTGGCCGCGACCACCGAGGCCTGCTCCCGAACGGTGGCTGAGGGCAGCCAACGGGCACGTGCAGGCCACCTGCTGTGATGGGACTTGGGTGCGAAGCCACCGATCAGGGCAGCAACGTGCTCCCAGGTCCACAGCACGGATCGTGCTTACGTCTGGGACCTCTGATGTCAGTCCTGCCAAGGCGACACCAAAGAAAACCCAACGAGAGAGATTAGAGCCTAAGGAACAAGGGTTCTGCCTGGTAGGGTTGCGGTTGGAAGGGCCACAAACCGTTGTTATACCAAGACTCTGTCACCCCCCTGGGGGTGATGCTGTGTCCTCTACGCTTACAAACGTCCTCCGTGGCCTCCTCTGTAACTGGCAATATCCCCCTTCGATGCCAGGTTTCTCTTTTTTCCTTCTGCCTGTTTCCCCCGGGTACCCTGCTGTCAAAGGCTACCAGAGTCTTCACTCGCCTTCACCTGTCTGTCTGTCTGTCTGTCTATCAACCCCAGTTGTGCCACCAGGAAGGAGTCTACCTCAGCAAGTCCCAGACCTCCCGCATCAAAAGCTCTCCTCTAACAAAAAGGTTCAGGGTCCAAACGGAATAGAAAATGCCAGGCTGTAAGATGCCTACCACGTATCTTTGATGCAGCTCTTCTCAGAGCCTTTAACGTCATCCATCGTGCCTGTAGCAGACGCAAGCTGCACGTCCCGCATCCAAGCACTAGCCCCAGGAACGCTACTTTCCCCAGCAACACCCAACTGGGATATGTTTATCTTCCTACATGCCCTAAAATCCTCCTCTTTAGCATACATCTGCCCTGCCTCCCCACCCCCAGCCAGGCCCTATTTTGGGCTTTGATGTATTCAGACACTCCAACAGGTCAATCTCTCAGCCTCAGCAGGGTCCACCCTCCCTGCAGTCACAACCAAACCCTGTGATCTGCCTCAGGCGATCTGTCCTCCGCAGAACCCCTCACCATCCCACCACCTAGGCAAACTCAGGCCTTCACCGGCCCCCCTCCTGATCCCACCCGTCTTAAACACCCCACTGATCCACTCAAAACTCTCAGGGGGCTGGGGCGCCTGGGTGGCTTAGTCGGTTGAGCGTCCGACTTTCGCTCAGGTCATGATCTCGCGGTTCGTGGGTTCGAGCCCCGCGTCGGGCTCTGTGCTGACTGCCAGCTCAGAGCCTGGAGCCTGTTTCAGTCTGTGACTCCCTCTCTCTCTGACCCTCCCCTGCTCACGCTGTCTCTCTCTCTCTCCTAAAAATAACTAAAACATTAAAAAAAAAAAACCTCTCAGGGGACCTTCGTACCCTGAAGGAAGCTACAGCCCTGACTTTCCTAGTATTTTACTTGGAACGATACTCCTGCACTTGACTAGGGAGCAGGCTACCAGCATCATTCGATTCACAGTGGTCTCAACCCACATTCTCCTTAGAGGGACGCACAAGACAGTCTACAAGCCCGTGGGAAGAAAACAAGCCACTATTAGCATGTGTTTTTCATTCTACCCTTTCCGAACCCCTATGTCTGACTGCATTTTATGACACACGCTGCACGTATACAACAGACACATCAGTAACAAGCTGGGCGGTGCCCGCCATGTAGGCCAGTTTTGTTTCGATGAACAGGACATGGGAGGCCCCTCCCCCTGAACTGGCCCCTCCCACACCTTTCCAGCTTCACTCCCCACATCACGGCCTGTATTCACTGCCTTAGCTCTGCAGCGTCACACCCCCCGCCAAGATCAACTCCTGCCCAGACGGGTATCTTCTCTTCGCCCTGGGATGGCAATGCTTCCCCTTCCAGCACCTAAACCTGCCGATCCTGGAGAGGTTTATACCCTACAGCGCCTGCCTTCCCTGCCACTGCAGGCAACGCTGGCGGAGAAGGAGCCCTCCCCTGGATTTTATCTACACTGCTGGGCCTCAGACTCTTCATCTGCAAAACGAGGATAATTTTTAGGACTTCCCCACACTGTGAAGTCCCAAGGAAATGAAAGCATCAAAGGCACCAAAGCGCAATGCACCACACACCTGTGGCTACCCTAGCATCTGGCCCAATCGTCTGTGCTCCTCCCACACCGGAGTGCTCCCCGCGGAAATATCTGAGAAACTGAGCCATTTCTAAGCAATGAAAGATCCCAGGAAACAAAGGCCCCACTCCTAAGTCAAGCATCTGGGAAGACGCTTGATCGCTTTCATTAGCCTGAAGCACCTTAGGAGAGAGGCCTGTGGCCTCCACCGTGGGGAAGGCAGGCTGTCACCACTGTGCTACCTCGCTGTCGAAATCCCCGCAGCGATGCAGAGTGGAGGTACCAAACCGAACCACCTGGAAAGGGCTGGAACGCAGACACCAGGGTGCTCCGTTCCCGCCCCTCGCTCTCGGGCCCACGGAATTGAAATCCTGCCCGAGTGAGCCGCAGGACGCGGGGCGCCGCCGCCCCCACTCTGCGCGGCTCAGTCCGGCCCCGCGGCCCCCCGAGCCCGCCCGCAGGCCCCTGGCGCGCGGTTACCGGGAAAGTCACACTTGTAGGGCCGCTCGGGCTCGAAGTGGCTGCGCTGGTGGGAGCTGAGCTTGGCGTGCGTGGGGAAGCGTTCGGAGCACACCTCGCACTTGAACAAGTTCTCCTGCTCGTGGCCCTTCATGTGCGCCTTGAGGTTGTACACGGTGGTGAACTTCTTGCCGCAGCCGCCCACGGGGCAGCCGAAGGGCCGCAGCTTGTCGTGCGACTGCAGGTGCCGCTTGAGCTTGTAGGACGTGGTGAAGGCCCAGCCGCAGCCGTCCAGCGGGCACTTGAAGGGCCGCCGGCCCTGGCTGCTGCCGTGCGTCACCAGGTGCACCTTGAGCTGGTGCTTCTTGGCGAAGGAGAGCGCGCACTGCGGCTCGGGACAGCGGTAGCCGGCGGGGCCGGGGCCCGGGGGGCCGCGGCTGCCCTCGGCCGGGCTGGCGGCCTCCTCGCCCCCCGGCGGCGGCGGGGGCGCGGGCGGGCCCCGGGGCGGCTGGCCGGACGGCGGCGGCGCGGCGGCCAGCGTGAAGACGCCGCGGTCGAAGCGCACCAGCAGGTCCTGGCTGTTGATGGTGACGGTGCCCGCGAGGCCCGCGAGGCCCGCCGCGGGCTCGGGGGCGGCGGCCGCCGCGCCGCTGGGGCCCTGCTGGGGCCGGCCGGCCGGGCTCGCGCCGGCGCTGGCCCCGACCTCCCGCCGCCCGGGCGCCTCGGCCGCGGCGCCGCGCGCCACTTCCAGCAGCACCACGAAGGAGTCGCCGCCGTCCTCCGGGGGCGGGGGACTCGGCCGCGGGCCCTCCGACGCCGCCCGGGCCTCCCCGCGCAGCGGCCCCGGCCCGCCATCTTCGGGGCCCCGCAGCAGCAGCAGCCGGCGGCGCGCGGGGCCGGGGCCGGGCGGCGGCCCGGGGCCTCGGCGCAGCCGGCCGGGGCCGCCGCCGCCGCCATGTTGGGGTCCGCGCGCGGTCGGCGCGGCCAGCAGCTTCGGAAGGTCCATCTTGGGCCCAGCCGCGGCGTCCCAGCCGCCGCCTCGGAGGAAGCGCCGTCCGCCCCGCCCAGCCGTGCGCGACGCCGTGCGGCCGCCAAAGCCCGGCGCGGAGCACGGCCGGAGTCCGGCCTGGAGCTGCGCGTGCGCGTGCGTCTGCGCCTGCGCCTGCGCCGCGGGGCGCCGCGCGAGGCCTGCCGGGCCCGGGCTGGCCGGCGCGGGCGCGCGGGTGCCGCTGGCCGCCGAGCCCCCGGGGCTTCGGCCGAGGCCGACCTCGCGAGCTGCGGCGTCCCCCTCCGTGGGGACCGGTGCTAGCTTTCCACTGGGCAGGGGATCAGTAACGGCAGCCGACGGTCTTCACACTCGCAAGGGTGAGGAAACTGAGGCCCTGGCCGTTCGAGTGCCTTGCCCGAGGTCACAGCCAGGAGCCGGGAGAGTCAAGGTCGCGGCGCCAGGCGGGGCTCACGGAAGTGTGAGCTCGCTGAGGCGCCCCGCTGCCTCTGGCACCTCGCCCGCGGACCCGCAGCGCCCCCGATTCCCGCCCCCCACTCCCTGCCCACGCTCTTCCAACTGCCTTTCCTCCTAAACTTCCTAAAGCCTTGCACCTCCCGCAGCCCTGACCCAACTGTTGCCGGAACTCCCCCACCCCACCCCTCACTCCGGGCGCAGTCGGGAGCGCCCCCACTTTGCTTCACGTCACTGCCCTCCTGACCCAAACCCCTAGGTCACGACTAGCTTGTTAGGGAGATAACGCAGCAGCCGCTCCCCAGCCTCCACCATGCCCTCCACCCAGTCTCCTTAGGGCATGGTTGTGTCCTGACTTGGTGCACCCCGTTGCTGTCTCCCCCACATTTCTCACCACTTTACCCCTCACTCTACAATCCGATCCCCGATCCCCTCCCCCCCCCACCCCCGTCTTTATTCCAGTTCCTCCAACAGGCGAAGCCAGTTCGACCCTGCACAGCTTGGTCTCTGATTCCTATAGGAAGACTGGCCTTCCGATCACGTACACTCTTCACCCAGCCTCTTATTCTCCCCCGCCCCTCTGATTTGCTTCTGCTTATAGCTCTCAAGCTATTTTTTATTTGCCCTTTTCCTGGATAATTCGTGGTCTATGTCCCCCTCTGGAATGTAGACTCCTTTAGCGCGGGAACCGGGTCAGTCTCATCCACCCCTGTATGCCCAGAGGCTAACAGGGAAGACTCTCTGCTAAATATTTGGCTTATCAAAAGGAGTTTAAAAATAAGGTACATAAAATATACTGAAAAGAATAGGGAACACCATACGTATATATAAATGTAAGTATGTATATATAATTTATGCGCCAAACTGTATTGTCCCCAGGCCATTCCATGGAGGAAAGAATAATGTTTTCAACAAATTGTTCTGGGACAGCTGGATATCTACATAGGAAAGAATGAATCTGGGCCCGTACTTCCCAGCAGATGCAAAAAGTAACTCAAAATAGATCAAAGACCTAAACGTAAGAGCAAAAACTGTTAGAAGAAAACAGTACATTTGGGTGACCTCGGATTACGCGATGGTTTCCTAGGTATGAAACCAAAACACAAGCAATGAAAGAAACAAATTGGGCTTCGTCAAAACCAGAAACTCTTTTACGTCTAAAAACACTAAAAAGGAAGTGAAAAGACAACCCCAGAGTGGAAGAAAAATTTGCAAATCCTGTATCTGATAAGCAACTACTACCCAGAATATAGTTTTAAAAACCTCTGACCCAACAGCAAAAAGACAACCCAACTGAAAAACAATAGATTTGAATAGATACCTCTCCAGAGATGTACAGATGGCCAATGAGCCCATGAAAAGATGCTCAACATCATTACTCATTAGGGAAATGCAGATCAGAACCACAAGGATATAACATTTCTTCTCCACTGACAGCTATAACTTTTTAAAATGAAAAAGCACAAGTGTAAGGATGAAGGAAAAATTGGAACCCTCACACACTTCTGGTGGGAATGTAATCTGGTGAAGCCGGTGTGCAAGAAAGCGTGTCAGCTCCGCAAAAGTTAAATACAGAATTTTCCTATCAGCCAGCAATTCCTTTCCTAGGCATATACCCAAGAGAAATGAAAACACATTCACACAAAAACCTGTCTGTGAATGGTCATAATAGATTATTCTAAAACTTTTTTTTTTAATGTTTGTTTATTTTTGAGAGCAACAGCGGGCAAGCAGGGGAGGGGCAGAGAGAGAGGGAGACACAGAATCCAAAGCAGGCTCCAGGCTCCGAGCTGTCAGCACAGAGCCCGACGCCGGGCTCGAACCCATGGACTGCGAGATTGTGACCTGAGCCAAAGTCAGGCGCCTAACCGACAGCCACCCAGGAGCCCCCATAGTAGATTATCCATAATGCTACATAATGAAAGGTGGGAACAACCAAGTGTCCATCAACAGGCAAATAGGTAGACAAAATGTGGCATACCCACGTGACGGAATATTATTCAGCCATAAAAAGGGATGAAGTACGGAAGCAGGCTACAACAGCAGTGAACCTTGAAGACGTGCTAAGGGGAGAAAGCCAGACACAAAACACCACATACTATAGGCTTCCACTCATCTGTCTAGAAAAGGTGACTTTTCTGGCCATGTGCCAGAAAGTAGATTCGTGGTTGCCAGGGAATGGACAGTAAAGGGAAATTGGGACTAATTCCTAATAGCTATGGAATTTCTTTTTGGGGTGATGGAAACACCCTGGAATTAGACATAATTAGACTCAGTTGTGTCAACTAAAAACCACTGACTTGTTCATTCTAGAACAGTAACTTTACATTCTGTTAGGACTCTGCTAAAAATACATCGTTAGGAAAAATCAATGCATGCATTGTTTAGAAGGATCCCGTTTGTATAAGGAGGGAAAAACGATGTGTATGTTCATGTACTTGCATACCCTTAGAAAATTTCTAGAAACATTCACAAGACACTGCTAGTCCTTGTAACTGCTTCTAAAGAGAGGTGGGGAACGAAAGGTACCTTCCCTTAATTCTTCTGTCCTGTTGACTACTTGCCTTTTTTTTAGATCATGAATGGAGGTTTTGTTTTTGTGGTTTTATTTTCATTCCAGTGTAATAAACATATAGTTTATATTCGTTTCAAGTATACAATATAGTGGTTCAACAATTCGACACATTACTCAGTGTTTCATCACAGTGCGTGCACTCTTAATGCCTTCACCTATCCCCCCCCCCCCGCCCCGCCATCACCTCCCCTCTGGCAGTTTGTTCTCTATGTTTTAAGAATCCAGGGGGCGCCTGGGTGGCTTAGTCGGTTAAGCGTCCGACTTCGGCTCAGGTCATGATCTCGCGGTTCGTGGGTTCGAGCCCCGCGTCAGGCTCTGTGCTGACTGCCAGCTCAGAGCCTGGAGCCTGTTTCAGTCTGTGACTCCCTCTCTCTCTGACCCTCCCCTGCTCACGCTGTCTCTCTCTCTCTCTCTCTCCTAGAAATAAATAAAAATATTTTTTAAAAAAAGAATCCAGTAGTTTTTTGTCTCTTTTCTTTGTTCATTTCCTTGGTCTCTTAAATTCCACACATGAGTGAAATCATGGTATTTGTCTTTCTCTGACTTATGTAGTTTAGCATTATACTCCCTAATTCTATCCGCGTTGTTGCTAATGGCAAGATTCCATTCTCTTTTATGGCTGAATAATATTCCATCGTATCTTTATGCCACTTCTTCCTTATCCATTCATCGGTCGATGGACACTTAGTCTGCTTTCATATCTTGGCAGTTGTAAATAGTGCTGCATAAACATAGGGATGCATGCCTCCCTCTGGATTAGTGTTTTTGTATTCTTTGGGTAAATACCCAGGAGTGCCATTGCTCCATCTACAGTTCTATTTTTAACTTTCTGAGGAACCTCCACACCGTTTTCCACAGCGGCTGTACCAGTTTGCGTTCCCACCGACAGTGCACGAAGATCCTTTTTTCTCCACATCCTCGCCAGCACCTGTTTCTTGCGTTGCTCATTTTGGCCATTCTGACAAGTGTGAGGGGATAACTGATTTGCAGTTTTGATTTGCATTTCCCTGACAAATGATGGTGAGCATCTTTTCATGTGTCCATTGGCCATCTGTATGTCTTCTATGGAGAAATGTCTGGTCACGTCTTCTGCCCGTTTTTATTTGGATTATTTGTTTTCTGGGTGTTGACTTGTATAAGTTCTTTATATATTGTGGATACTAACCTTTTATCGGGTATGTCATTTGCAGATATCTTCTCCCATTCCATAGGTTGCCTTTTAGTTTTGTTGCTTGTTTCCCTGGCTGTGCAGAGCTTTTTATGTTGATGAACTCCTAATAGTTTAATTTTGCTTTCGTTCCCTTTGCCTCCGGAGACCCACTAGGAAAATGTTGCTATGATCAATGTCAGAGAAATGACTGCCTGTCCTCTCTTCTAGGATTTTTATGGTTTCGGGTCTCACCTTTAGATCTTCAGTCCATTTTGAATTTATTTTTGTGTATGGCCTAAGAAAGTGGCCCAGTTTCATTCTTTTGCATGTTGCTGTCCAGTTTTTCCAACACCATTTGCTACACTGTCTTTTTCCCATTGGGTATTCCTGCCTCCTTTGTTGAAGTTAATTGACCACGTAATCATGGGTTTGTTTCTGGAGACTCTATTCTGTTCCACTGATCCACCCATGTGTCTGTTTTTGCCAGTACCATACTATTTTGATTACTACTGCTTTGTAGTATATCTTGACATTTGGGATTGTGGTACTTCAGTTTTGTTCTTTTTTCAAGATTGCTTTGGCTATTTGAGGTCTTTGTGGTCCCATACAAATTTTAGAATGATTTATCCTAGTTCTGTGAATTAGATTGATATCTTGAAAAGGATTGTATTAAATCTAGAGATTGCTTTGGCTAGCATGGACATTTTTAAAAGATTTAGTCTCCCAATCCATGAGCACAGAATGCCTTTCCGTTTCTTTGTGTGATTTTCAATTTCTTTCACCAATGTTTGTAGTTTGCAGAGTATAGGTCTTTCACCTCCTTGGTTAGGTGTATTCCTAGATATTTTATTATTTTTTGCAAGTGTAAG